ATTGTAGGACTTACAGCAGTACGCCTACAACCCTTCTCAGGTTGACGCCCTAGGTTGGAAAGTTGTCTCAGAGTTCATTTCCTGACCTCCTTCCATCAACTGTATACTCAACTGTGAACGGTGACACGCCCATGTCATTGTATCGTAGAATATAGATGTCTAACAAACACGCGACGTATCTAATCAACCAAGCTTGGGCACAGAGTAATTTACACCAAAGATAATAACATTCAAATAGTAACTTTAAACTAGAATTGCCTTTTTTCGTGCTAGTCAGTCTAACAATTACCCTCTCATTTACAGTTGGCTTATCCTCACTAAACTGACCATTGAATTTCGTCCTTTGAAACGGACCAACACTAGCATAGTCATAGCACAAGACACGTGAGTTCATGGATAGCCCTCTCATTGTGGATGACAACACCAAAGACGACTGACTGATACCAGTCGATGAAATTACCGGTGCATCAGAAACTGTTGTATGTTCGACAGCGGGATTACCCTCACTGCTATCTTTTTTGATTAGCTCCAGTTTAGCATCAACATCTGTTGATTGGTGGGCTACACACTGATCATTTACACTGGAAGTGTCACGAGTATTCATACAACTGCATCTGCCTTTAACTCTACTCCACGTTCACAGTGTACAGAACTTTCGTTCAACTCAGCAGTAGTAGGCACATCCCTCATCTCATCATAATCAACCAAAGAGAAATGTGCACTATCATGATCATTATCACGAATGTTCACTTTACCGTCAATTTCATCAGTTTCAAACTCTTTAATAACAGCAGTATATGATTTGGATTCTTCCTCACAAATACCTATATGTTCTATACCTTAACTCCGACTAGTAATATCTTGTAAACTTAACGAGTCAAAATTGTCCTCTGAGACTGTAACTCTCTTCTGTGACACTCTAATCAACAATGGTTTACCAGTTGCAACTGCAGACTTCTTGACCACACCGTTATCGTCCCACAATTCAGAATCAGACCTTGATTTCACATTTAGCTTATCACTAAACTTGCTCACTGATTCACAGTTCACCCTTGTATGCACCTCTTGCAAACGTGTAAAACACAACCATGTTTGTCTTGCGGCTTGTAACCGATGTGTTGGCGATGTTCCACGAAAGCTGTTACACTCACTAAGTCTATACGCATTACTAGACACCATAGGGCCTTCTCGATATCGACCTCTGTGAGGCCCTTCCGTCATCAGTGATTGGGTTTTGCCCTCATACTGCTCTATTCTAGGGGTGAGATGCAATATACCGGCAAACTTGCTCATAGCTTGATTGACACTTCCTCTTACCAGTTTCAGAATATCATCGAACTTTGGCTCGGTACCTTCATCCTCCATACAAGAGCTTATCTCTACCCGCTTTCTTTGCAGTCAAGTAGGTAGGCGTCTCGTTATTACCTCTGGGACGGACCTTGAGTTGAGATCACTCATGCATTTCATCGAAATCATTGTATTCTTTTAAGTCAACAGATTATCCAGAAACTCAGAGGGTGACTTGGTGTCATCTTGTAATTGACCGCCATTACCCTTAACAGCCTCAAATAATTTCCTTACGATCATCGAAGATCATTCGAATCTTTGACGCAGGATATGCATCGCTTCAGTATATCCTTCATTTGTATAAAAAATTTGTTCGTAGACTTGTGGTGTTCTCCCCTTTACGCGCCAGATTCACCACACGACATGCCTCCCAAGCTTGATCCATCTGCTGTGACTTACTGTTATTTGAGAGTTATTGGAGGTGAAGTTGGGGCTACTTCATCGTTAGCACCTAAAATTGGTCCTCTTGGTTTGTCACCAAAAAAGGTTGGCGATGACATTGCAAAGGCCACTCAAGAATGGAAAGGACTACGTATATCTGTCAAACTGACAATTCAAAATCGACAGGCAACAATAAGCGTCGTACCAACGGCTTCTTCCCTTATTATCAAAGCCTTAAAGGAAGAGCCACGCGACAGAAAGAATAAACGAATAAAAGTACATGATAAATTTGTATAAATAATTTGTTTGTAGACTTGTGGTGTTCTCCCCTTTAATTGCCAAAAAAGATAATTTCCTTCCTACAATACTGGTGTTTTGGAGTTAAAGTCGAAGAAAGTACATAGTGTTTCTTTGTGCGGAGCGTCTTCGTAATAATAGGAACTTAGGGATAAGTAGCCCACGAACTTATGTTATTGAAAAAACACTCAAAAATGTTAGGAAATTATATATTTTAGAAAGTATATGAGAAAAGGTAGTTATCGACTGAAAGTGGTGATTTCAACACGAAAATTAGTGTTGCATGGTTATTTACATATGTGTGTAAAACAATCCAGAAAATTTCCAGGTAACAATTGTCCAAGGAAGACCCGCAGATACGAGGAAATACGAGCAGAATCTATCAGAAACTCTCACTGCCCATATCTTACTACATCGAACCTGGCGCTCTTCGCGGAAGCCTTTCAGAATCTATGCGTAGTAACTTACATTAAAAACCAGAACACGAATTAGTGACTCAAGAACCGTTTATTCTTGCACCAATACAGAGCCAACCATAAATTTGTTGTACACAAAGTCTAAGAATAAATGTCATAACAATAAATCACAAGAATACTTCGGACTATTTTTCTCTGTCCTCCATCGAACGGCGAACAATGAAGCGATGACTGCCGTATTGATGTCTCCTGCGAAAAATATGGAGTTGGGTTTGAACAAATAACCATGAATCGATCGTTTAATCTTCAAATACATTGACAAACGCATTCTTTACTCTCTCCAGAATGATGTGACTTAGACAATAGCATGTTTTCCCGCCATATTACTGGGGCCTATAAATAGCCCTTCTTTCGTAGTTTCACAAGGTAACGCCTCTTCAAATCAGCGATTAATTTCCCTCAAACTTCCTGAAAGGTGGTATCTACACATACGCCGAGATCCTTGGATCCGTCCTCGGTGTTATAGGAGGAATCCCAACCCGTCTGGCTGTCTTTCTGACTGGCTTTAATTAGCTGGAATGCACTCGGGGCTTACGATTTTGTTGGAGGATTGGTATCCACCGACAGTTCCGTGCCAGCTAACGGTAGTATTTTTGGACAAGCCGCATGTGATGATCGATTCGAGAGTCCTTTGAAGTGGTCGGAGTATCGTTTACAGCGATTTAACGGCAGCATTTAAGTTTTATATTTGCACGTGCAACATGATTATGCATGATGTTAAGCCAGCTTGTAAAATGACATGTGATCAGGAATATGAAATGACTACCATCAAGGGGGTGAGAATTAGCAGTTCTGGGAAATTTCATTGTGGCAGTTAAGAAACGGTGATTGGAAACATTCGTATGTGTTGATTTCGATGATATCTGTTGTGGAACACATCGCCGGACAGATTTAAACTTAGGTCAGATGACGTGTGATGAGGTTCTTTTCGATGAGAATGGACATCCCCGAAAGTTCATATTAAAGTATGGAAATGAAGAAACCCAGAAACCGAAACCCGACACCGTTGAAAAGAAACCAGTTTTCATCTGCCTAGCCTGCAAAGGTGAAGACGTACCCACAAGAACACAAAAAAGAATCTCAAGTGCATTAAAAAGAACATTTCCAGCTGCCAGACTGATCCTATTTCACAACACTGTGTGCTCATCAACCCAGTCAAAAGTAGATGAGTACCCTACTCACGTCAACTCCAACTCCATTTACCAATTCACGTGCACCTGCGGAAGCAAGTACATAGGAAGAACTGATAGGAGAGCATCTACTAGATTTTCTGAGCACATTCCTAAGGGCCTCCATACAAAGGGAAGAAAAGTGTTATCGAGTGCAATCGCCAGACTTTTAATTGACACAGGACACACAGTAGAAATCAGCCATGCCTTCAAAATAATCAATACGCAAAGAAACCCATGGCTACTTCGTTTCGCAGAAGCCATCGCCATCAAGAGACTTCGACCAGACCTCTGTACACAGAAAGATAGTGTGACTAATCTTTCACTACCCTGGTAACCCTAATCCTATTTTATTTATTTTTGTTTTTTGTTACTTACTTCACTGTGACTTCACTATTCACCCCCACCCTCTTAAACTCTCCACTACATGTGTAAATTCACTCTGTTCTCTGACCTTGACCCTATAATATGCCTCTGACCAATCTGCGTTTCCTAATAGTAATCTGAACTCTAAACCCTCTTATCTAATTCCACTATATATAATTAGTTTTTTTGACACTGAATAATCTGTCTACCTACATCAAATTCCGGAATTATGTTCCTTATACCTTCTATTTATAACTCCGAGTAATTATGAAAAAGTATGTTCCAAAACTTTTTTGAAACTTATAATTTGATTTTGTTTAGGATGTATGCAGTTGATGAGTATCCACGGAGTAAAACGAGCTCGTATTATCCTGCAAACATGTTCGTTCTTCCTCTCTTCACACTAATAAAGGGAACCGGTTGTATGAAATAATGTTATTACACAAATGTCTAGGAACAAATGTTATAACAATAAGTCACGATTATACTTCTGATAGTTTTTATTCTTCCTCTGAACAGCGAACGGTGAGACGATGACTGCTGGATTGACGAACCGCGAAAAATAGGGGGAAGTTGGGTTTGAGCAAACAACCATGAATTGATCGTTCAATCTTCAACTACATTGACAGAAAAACTTAGGATTTCCGATTCCCGATTTACTCTCCATTCCAATTAAATTAAATTATTTTGAAAAAACTACTTGGTGGAATGGGAAGGACTTTACTAATCAAGTCCACAGTTAGGGGCCCTAACAAAATTCTCCGTTAAACAAACATCCAATCGCCCACTGTGTAACGGCGAACGAAAATGATCATATATATTGCTTTGAAATTAGTGAAGGACTTTAAGCTAATCCCCAGCAACAAAAATAGTGAGCCATGAAATTCATAGGTTGATTAACGGTTTCGCAAATGAATTGGACATCGTCAGGCTCGAATTTGAATAGAGCGTTACTGTAGAGGGAATGAGTTCCTTGCTGAGAGTATGCTAAAGAGTTTTCTGCAACGTTTGTTGCATTTTACATGTACATTCCTAACATTTTTCTTGACATCAATGATTTAGCTAAGGCTCTCACAGCCGATACTAGTACCATTCAGAATTAATATGCCAAAAGCTGCAATGATTAATCATTGAAAAATGCACTGAAACATTGCAAATATGATATTTAACAATAAAGTTGTTCCTCATGCGTTGTAGGAATGTCTTCAAGTCACTACACATGACGTATAAAGCAGTCATCTCATGTGTGAGAGATGCATTCATGCAGGTGACTAGGTCATGGTACTCGGAGATTTATTCATATTTCTGACAGTTTAATTTAAATCACTCCATAATCTTACTACAATCCTAACTTTAATACTAGACCCTAAACTCTAATTTACAAAGCTGTATGCCTACCAAGCAGCATTGATTGATTTACAGAAAAAGTGCCCAGGGAATAAGTGGGATGCTGTATATACCTTCCCTAACTCCTAAAGGGCAGGTACGGTTTGATTTAGCATGAACTTTCACAGCAGTCCCTGTATGTGAAGGTCAACTATTGAAAGACTTTGGCTATGGTTATGATACTTTATCTTCACTTAAGGTTATCTCTATAGGATTGATATAAGTTAAGAGCTTTCCCATTTTTCGGTCCTGTATGCTACCCAGCCTCATTTATTTGTCGTTGCCTGAGATGCAGCATTGTCGATTACGTTACAAATCATCGTGACTCCGTTTTTGGAGAAGCTAGTCAATCTTCCCTGGCCAGTGATATAACATCCGGATGTGATACTGTAAAAACATATATTCTCAAACATTGACCTGGACCTCTGCACACTGTACGAAATGATGTCTCGGCGTACGTCAGATGGACGGCAGCTGCGTAGCACTTCGCCTATTATCACTAATGGGGTTATTGTCAGAACCGTAGATACTCTTATACTGGCACTACTGTATGTCCTCAAAGTTGATGATATTCCTGGTAAAATCCATATTATGAGACATCCTAGCTGAATACAGTTTTAGTGTCTGCTTATTCTGTTCTCCTGCTCCTAGTGAATGTTTTGATGTCTTGGTGTAAAGTTTATTTGAAAAGTCGGTTATATTGTAACAAGTTGCATCTATGCCCTATATTGAGGGTGTCATCCTCTGGAGTATTACACAAAGCTATTCTAAGGGGATTATTATCCCTTATTATAATCAATGATATACGGAATAACTGAGACTCATTCCCACACGATAATGGTGTGATGTCCTTCAGGGTTACTGAAGAGCTGAGGAGATTTATTAATCATGGAATTCACTACATGTTAACGTAGCCACTGCCCAGTCAGTTGACAGTTTCAAGAGAAGTCTGAGAGAGTGTGCAAGGTTGCGCAGACTTCTCATAATCATTTGTGAGGCAGTCTGATTCTCACGGATTACTAGCATTAATTTTATTTGTTTTTATTGCAGCTTGATGCCACACCGTATTTTTGGTACAAGTGTGGAATTTTCAGCATGTGATATCGGTAGCCCGAATGTTGCAGGCCGACCATAGATATCGGGTGTTCGTCGGCAGGGGATCGAACCCCGAACCATGTGCATGGTCGGCGAGAGTCCTAACCACTGTGCCACCGACGCACGACTAACCACTCAATACTACCTCTTTATTCTCACTTTTTCGTTGTCTTTCTTTCTTATCATTTGGCCTTTTCTTCAGATATAATTCAACAGTGTGTTTTATATATTCGTTTACCTTGATTTTCTTCTACCCGCGTTTTACCTGCTCACTAACAATTTTTTGTACTGGTATAGAGAATAGCCCACCGAAACGGCAGCTACCATTCACGCTTAAGACTATATCCTACTGTTAGATGTAGGCATACAGAACCTCAGGAGTCCCACAATTATTTGAAATCGTTTAGAGGTGAAATTAGTGGCGTACCTAAAGCTTACATACTTCCACAGGGGTCATGTTCTACTTATGTGCTGCTTTCACGTGATGTCTGATATCTGACTTAACATTGTTTTTCATACAACCGGTTCCTTTTATTAGTGTGAAGAGAGGAAGAACGAACATGTTTGCAGGATAATACGAGCTCGTTTTATTTCGTGGATACTCATCAACTGCATACATCCTAAACAAAATCAAATTATAAGTTTCAAAACTTCCAAAACTTTTTTGAAACTTATAATTTGATTTTGTTTAGGATGTATGCAGTTGATGAGTATCCACGAAATAAAACGAGCTCGTATTATCCTGCAAACATGTTCGTCCTTTCTCTCTTCAAATTAACATTGTTTCTTTGGAAAGTGGTTATTTTTAGCCCTGTAACTCGTGCTCACAACTATGAATCGCTTAGATTTAGTTACAAAAGCAAATTGAAAATTGTTTAGTGGCCTCTAAAATGGATAATGAAAGTTATATACACTGAAATCAATGGTAGACAATATAAATACTATAAATAAAAGTGAAAAACATGCTTATCTGATGTTAATTACGCAGTCTGATTCGCTGTCAATGTGATAACTGTGTTTATTGTTAAGTGGTCGAAGTTTGTATTCGTGTAGTATAAGTCCTATACTCAAAACATTTGCCTTCCGTGTATATGCCTAACCACCGCCTCCCCCGACGGGCATTGTTAGCTGATATAGGTTCAGGTTGGAAAAGAGCCAGTGGTGGCCAAACAAAAACATGGCATCAATCCATGAAATCCTTGACAGTTAAACTGAGTCAGGTAGGGAGATGCAGACTCCCGGGTTGGGGCCCTCGGGACTCTAGGAATCAATGGCTGGAGACAATAGGTGACATGGCTCAAAATCGTTGTCAATGGCTAGCGCAGATGTATTCAATCTCTGTAATCTTTCATATTCCTTTCTACCATTACCCATTCTGTTTCACTCTTATATTTGTCAAACTCTATAAATTCTCTTCACTCATCTTCTTGTCTACCTCTGTGTGCTATTTGGAAGGTGGCAACTCGAACTGGTGCACTTCGGTGCCAAGTTCTATGTTGAATCCAGACAGACCAGACATATGCGCGATTGAAGGGTACATATTTAATGGTGTTTGATAAAAATTGTGTTACATCTAAATAAGTCATTTGATATTCTCATATGGTTAAGTTATTTAATCCATCTCGTTCCGTGTGAGATATAGGGATTTACTCTTTAAAGTGCCAGTAACATTATCATTTTCTACGGTATGGGGTTGCCAACCTTATATCCAACCTCCTTTCTTTCCCTAGCCTAATGTCTTCTAGTAAGCCAGGCAGGGTTTGTGAATGCATCGGACGTGAATGAAATCCACGAGCATTCTCCCACCGATAAACTGATATAAGGATGAGAAAAAAAGTATTTCAGGTTTAAAAAACTCTGTGATTATACTTTAGGGTGAATTAGGAGAGATTACTACTCATCGGATGGTATATGCATCTTGTGGCGTTAGTGGTTTTGTCCTGCTGTATGAACACTAATTTGGTGTAAAGTATTTCATATTTATCGGATAATGTCATAGATGGTGTGGCCCCTCTTCCTAGCCTTAAGACATATGCACTGCCTGTTAAAAGCCAAGAATAGCTAAGGGTACAACTTAGTAGTTATAAATGTAACGGTCTATAAATCTTCACACTCATATGAGCTATTTACATTCTGTTGGCCAAAAGTTAGGGAAAACAAAATGGGGAATTAGCATTGTAATACTTAACCAAATACAACTGGCTATATCTACCAAGAAGCAAAAGTATCAATTTCAACTTTGAAACATATTATGAGAGCTTCAACCTCATCCTTTTCTAAATGACATCTTACAATATCTTAGATTTCGTCTAACATCCCTAATTTTGAGTGCAGGTTCAATACTTTAAGACTAATATTTTCCATTATATGCTATTATCAAGTATTGGCTTTGTAGGGATTTTGTTTGATTGTATGGAGGATATCACCATGAGCTGACATCTGATGCTCACTAGCGACTGGCCCTGTTCAGGCAGTTGACCTGGGGTTCTAGTGGGAAGCCGTGACCAGTAGGGTAAAGCAGGCCAACAATGAGGCAGTAACTCATCGAAGAAGACATTGCGAAGTGGTCGCGCTATGTCGTGAACTGGCAGAAGTTAGAAATCAAGAACCATTGGATCGGGTTCCAGTGGCTCAATGGTCTACGAGCTCGCCTTGTAACCAGAAGGTCCTGGGTTCGAACCCCGGTGTGTGCGTACCGCTGAAGAGTCCCAAACTAAGACGAAACAGTTGTCTAGTAATCCCAGATTTCGCAGTGGTTCTCTAACTGATGCCAGCTCATGGTTAAATCATCCATATGCTATTATGTTAAGCTTCTGGTATAGCGTCTAAGAATAATGAAAATTTGTAAATTTACTTAAGCTGTTTTTGTTGTACACTGTTTCTCATATTACAATACAGTAAAATAAACGCATCGTTTTTTGTGTTTTAGACTCTCATAACTTCAAAATTAGTAAAAGTCACTGTGAATGACTTTACTTTTGGAAGAAAACCTTATCTGTTTTCTGCATATCTGATGCCCTTGAATCGATATTGTACAAGTGCTGAAACGGTCAAAAACACGAATCAAACAAAGGAAAATCTTCAAACCAAGACGAATATTCGTAAAAATTACAAAAATAAACCATATAAACAAGCTGATTTGGCAACAAGCTTAGAGTATTTAAATTCTGATGGTATATGATTGGTTTGTTTAATTTATATTGTCTTAGTATATAGGAATACGTATAGGGGTAAACCTGTGTGGTTTTACTACAGACGTAACTACAAAGGACATTTTCCTCCAAGTTCCACAAGGAAAAATTGCGTTGTATGTTTAACAAGTTTAAATTCATTTGATAATTTTTCATTTCGTGATATTATTAACCTAAATTGTATTGTGGTATTAGATTTCTTTCTAGCAATTGCATTTCCCAAATGTGTTTCTTTCCTTGAAAAGAGACCCTAAATGTTTAGTTCTGAATTACTCGTGCCAATTAAATTCATTCCTTACAGATGCCCACATTTCGAACTAGTTAGAGAACCAGCCAAGGATGATGAAATTGATTTCAAGAGAAAACACAAAGGACATATATTATCATCGATCACTGCTACATAAAATGATAGTAACGAAATATACTGTCTTGCCTGAGATATAATCACCTAGGACCATTTGTGCAGTTAAGTAGGATACTTTCGGGTCCTTTTTACTGATTACGTCACTGTGTAGCGTCTACGCTGGAATTCAGTTGTTCAGGGTGATTGAATTTCCTTTTGTATCGACAATTTATACAGTACTACTGCTTAGATGGTTGGAGGCAATCGGACACAGGAAGCCTTGGACCTAGGTTTCGTGCTAGTTGGCACTCATCAGCAAGGCGTATCTGCAATCTTGAAGGAACTTATGTCCCTTCTGAGGTTCGAACCCGCGTCACCCAGTTCCAGCTCTAGTCAGAGATGTTACCACTGAGCTCTTCGGCCTCGCGATTGAACTCCTGTAGGATATTTTTGATTGGACGCTAGTCAGTAACTAGTTACTGACTAGCGTCCAATCAAAAATACAGTACTGCTTCATCTAACCACTAACTGACTAACATGTATTTTATTTCTTTTCATCAAATGATCGATTGATAATCCAAAAGTATCTTGGAAAATTGATAAGCTCAAATCCATGTCCTATTTGTCGCGATGAATATTTGGTTTTACATTATCAAGTAAGTTGCACTTAATTTTTCATTTCTATTTTAATTTTGTATCTGGAATCTGTTAGTCTTGATCTGAAGTTGACGCTTAAAATATTTCATAAGGACATTTTTCTGAAATATCGAGATCCTAATTGTTATTTAGCTGGACAGGAGAAAGATACGATGAGCTCAACTTACAAAGCACTGGACAAAGAAGTGAAGAAGAGTGCTAGGAAGGACAAAAGACGATTCTACGACAACCTGGCCACCGAAGCTGAGAAGGCAGCAGGCAAAAGGGACCTGAGGACACTGTATCAGATAACCAAATCTCTATCCGGGAAGAGATCAACACGCGAAACCTATAAAAGACAGCCAAGGAAACCCAATTACCAAGGAAGAAAAACAGATTAAACAATGGGCGGATCACTTCAAAGGACTCTGGAACCGACCACCACCTGCAACCCGTCCAGAAATACCAACAACAGTGCGCACACAACTGCAAGTTGACACCAATCCTCCAATCAGAGCTGAAGTCTTGAACGCAATCAAGCTTCTGAAAGCTGGAAAAGCAGCCGGACCAGATGGAATTCCCCCTGAAGCACTGAAAGCAGACCCAGAGTCTGTCTGTCTAGATTCAACATAGAACTTGGCACCGAAGTGCATCAGTTCCAGTTGCCACGTTCCAAATAGCACACAGAGGTAGACAAGAAGATGAGTGAAGAGAATTAATAGAGTTTGACAAGTATAAGAGTGAAACAGAATGGGTAATGGTAGAAAGGAATATGAAAGATTACAGAGACTGAATACATCTGCGCTGGCCATTGACAACGATTTTGAGCCATGTGTCACCTATTGTCTCCAGCCATTGATTCCTAGAGTCCCGAGGGCCCCAACCCCGAAGTCTGCATCTCCCTACCTGACTCAGTTTAACTGTCAAGGATTTCATGGATTGATGCCATGTTTTTGTTTGGCCACCACTGGCTCTTTTCCAACCTGAACCTATATCAGCTAACAATGCCCGTCGGGGGAGGCGGTGGTTAGGCATGCGCAGCACGTGACCTAGCCATCTTAGTCTATGCAACTTTATAGCCTCGTCGATTGATTTTCCCTCTTTGCCCAACACTCTACGCCTAACGTCAACATTACTTACCTTGTGAAACCACCTAACGTGAGACAGAGATCGCAGACATCTATGATCGAAAGCGGTCAACCTTTTCATGTCTTCAACGCGTATTGGCCATGTTTCAGAGCCATAGAGAAGGACGGAGTGAACTGCTGAACAGTACACACGTCCCTTGGTTGATAGCCGGATGTCACGCCTACGCCAGAGATGGTGTAAGTCAGCGAAAGCAGCTCGAGCTTTTTGGATCCTTGCTGAGATTTCGTCGCCAATCAGTCCGTTGGTGCTAATACAACTTCCCAAATAGGTGAAGTGGTCAACATGTTCTATCACTTCACTCCCTATCACTAAGCTAGGAGTTGACGTAGTCCAGTCCTGTAGCAGCCAGCATCTTACATTTTGCAGGGGCGAATCGCATGCCAAACATACGAAGATTGCTGCTCAAGGTGTTCAGAAGACTCTGCATTTTGTCAGCAACCTCCCCTAATAGGACTATGTCATCTGCATATTCTAAGTCCATAAGACTATTCCCTGGTAACAAGTCGATTCCTAAGTCGTCACGTTCAGTTAAGGATACTTCCATCAGCATATCTATGATGAAGTTAAACAGACCCAGAGACTACAGCAGACATGCTGACTCCATTATTGCAAAAGGTCTGGAAGGAGGGAAAGGTGCCTACTGACTGGAGGAAAGGTTACCTCGTGAGACTACCAAAGAAGGGCGACTTAGGACTCACCCTGCAAGAACTGGCGAGGAATCATGCTCGTATCGACACAATTAAAATCCTGAGTTGCATCATCCTGGAGAGAATAAAGAACGCACTGGATGCATAACTCCAACCAGAACAATCTGGATTAAGGAAAGGCAAATCATGTACTGACCAAAATGCAACTCTACGCATCATCATCGAACAAAGCATGGAATGGCAATCAAACCTCTACCTCAACTTTATAGACTTTGAGAAGGCCTTCGACAGCGTTGATCGTGAAGTAATTTGGAAATTACTCGAGTACTATGGCGTACCACAAATATTCATCAACCTTAATCAACAGCTGTCCGACAACGGCACATGTCAAGTGATCCACAACGGAAAACTCAGCAAGGTGTTTGCAGTAAACACAGGAGTCAGACAAGGGTGTTGGCTTATTATCTATCAACAATGATATTCCTAATTGTGGTGGACTGGATTATGCGTCGGACAGTGGGTGGCAAACGAGAAGACAGGAATATCCTGGACCGACGTGAAGAACCTAGAAGACCTGGACTTCGCGCGTGGATGACTTATGTTTGATGTCACACACAATCGAAGACTTACAAGCGAAAACCGACAAACTGGTCGAAGAAGCAGGCAGAAAAGATAGGACTCCAGGTAAACATAGACAAGACGGAGGTTATGAAAATAACCAACCAACAACAGCAGAAATATCCAACACTAATCACCATCAACGGGAGAGATTTGAAAGAGGTTACTTCATTCACTTATCTAGCATTGAGCATTGTCTCAGCTACAGGAGGAACGGACGAGGATCTCAAATCGAGAATCGGGAAGGCGAGGAACACATTCATCAATCTGAAACCAATCTGGAAATCTTCGTCACTCAGCCACCATCAACAACAAAATTCGGATTTTCAATACAAACGTCAAGTCAGTCAGTTCTCCTATACGGATTGATTCAGAAACTTGGCGGGCGAGCGGGTCACAAAGAATATTTCGAACAGCCTGTTGCAGACCTTTATTAACAACTGTCTTCGCTGGCTCTATACTGAAGATCAGATGGCCGGGTCGGAAAGAATCACCAACAAGAAACTATGGACACAAACAAACAAAACAAGAAGCAATTGCCAACCAACAAATATGCAGGAGAAAGTGGAGATAGATCGGACACTCGCTGAGGAGACCGCTGGGAGACATCGCACGTATGGCCATTGCTCGAGTGGAACCAGGCCGAAAAGGAAGCGGCGTGTGGGACGTCAGTGTGAGAGTGACATGGAGGAGATCGTGTGAAGAGGAGTTGAAAGAATATGGACTAAGATGGATGCAAGCGAAAAGTACAGCTGAAGGAAGACAGAAGAAAATGGAGACGTGCAGTTGAAGCCCTATGTTCCACTAGGAACCCAAGGGAGCAATAATAATAATTGTTATTTAGCTGCCAGTAGTATATCGCTCCAACGAATGGAAGAATACTGCCGTATAAACAGAAGTAGAGCATAAAGCATGTTAATGGAGTTGTTTGAAGTGTGAATAACGATCTCTATGTCACCCTCAGACCAATTCCAATCTCGTTTCTCATTCAGGCTGCACTCGAACGATGGCCTGGTGTCTGATGCGTATTTCCGACCCATCCCTATTTTCCTCGGGATATTTGTTTGGCAATAGGTTTTTGATTGGTTCGTTGCTACAGTTTATTGCTTGTATAATTCTTTCTTACTGTTTTTCTAACCTTCAGTATGGAGCCAATGAAGGTAGCTGTTAATAAAAGTCTAAAGCATGTTTAAAATGCTTTTGGAGATACAACCACCAAGTCTCTGAACCTTGTATAAAAAAATAGTTTGACATTAGTGTTGAAAATCTATATCTTGTTCTTTATGCTTAAGTACAGCCGATCTCCACACTGATTACAAATGAATTAAAATTCTGCCTTGTCGTTTCGACTCTAGTTGGCTTTGACATCTTCATCCGTGCTGCCAATTATTTGAGATGAAGCTGCCTAGGAAAGTGGAAGAAGTAACTTCCTTCAAATTCTCCTTTTGATAGTGATTGGTTGTTGTTGTTGTTTTTAGACTTCGGATATCTTCATCGCCTCTATCTTCTGTATATATGTTCCTTTGAAGTTCTATTTTCAATGCTTCTTCTGCCAACTTATTGATATTCTTCCGTAGATCTCCGAGTTTGTTTGACAATAGACATAAATCGTCCGCTAATTCCAGGTCTTCAAGTGTTGGTTTGTAGGGATTTGATTGGTTTCAGGATTTCATCATGAGCTGACATTAGTTAGAGAACCATTTTGAAACCTGGGAGTACTGGACAGCTGTTTCGTCCTAGTTTGGGACTCTTCATCAGTACGCACCCACCGGGATTCGAACCCGGGACCTTCCGGTTACAAGGTGAGCTTCTTGTCGGTCTAACATATTTCTGTCTTTTCGCTTCCCACGGCCTGTCTTATGGTTCAGTCCATGATAGTTTGTAATACTATTAGTTGATAATAGACAGCCTTTGCCTGTAGCAGTTTACAGAATTTTTCATATCAGGCAAAACTATAACAGTTAAGTGATTGAAAGGAGACTCAAGGTCGTCATCATTTTTATCCTTATCTACAAATGCAAAAAGGGTACATAAATTTCTAAAGTAAGTCGATTGCTTTTTACTGTCTAAAACTCATTTGTCTAACATATTAAGTCTTTATATCATTATGTACATCTGTTGTCCTTAGAAGGTAGCTGATACAGGTTTCGTGTCTTGGACGTTGATTGAATTCTGTCAAATAAGTGTACACTGTGATGTTATACAACGCCACTTTGCAGTGCGTTGCAGTGCATTATCTAATGTACAATTACAATACAACACAACTCAAAAACAGTCCCCTATCTCTTGATTTGATGGATCGTAAATAAACGACCTGATTCAGCTGAGTATGAGTAGATTTTGGTTTTCCTCTCGGAGTGCTTTCATGTAGCCACATGCTCACTGCCTTCACACGGGAAGCATTCTTCACAAAAATGGAAGGGTGGATTTGAACGTCTGACGCCTACAACTGGATTGGTGGACATACACCTCTTCACTTAGAGGAACTGAAAGACTCTGATTCTAAACTTATAATGTACATGAACCCCGGATTCCGAATGGATCGAATAGTATATGAACCTATTTTGGTCACCAGAAACCATGGGAACGCTGATCGACTGCCTTATGGATAAAACTTCAAGTCGAAGACTGGGAGGGAGGAATTGGTCTCTTAAGATAACCACCTGATTCTGTCTGGGTGTACAAGTAGTATACCAATCCCCCGACAAACTATGAGGTTTGGTTCGGTGCATCTTTTGGTGCCCATAATGCACCATGCTTGTGTTTTTAATAAATAATAAGCGAAATGTATCTGTTATTTTGATGACGACATTCCATGTCTGTCTGTCTGTCTGTCTATCTGTTTTCGACATAGAACTTTGCACAAATGTGCGGCAGTTCAAGTCGCCATATCTAGATAACAGATGCCGGTCAAGATACTCTTAACACTGGATAGATATATTCGTAGTTATTTCGCAGATTATTTATGTTTATCTGTCTACTTTATAGAGAGTGAATTGTAACCAGTATAGCTAAGTGGTAAATTTCGCATCTACACCTTATTAGTCAGTGTTAACAAACAGGAGAACCTATTGCTGTTCTACCTGTCGGTGGATTTCTTTTACAGTGTATGTGTTACTATTATTCATAAAGTTTCTACCATAACTCTGTAAGTGAATTTTAGTTATTTAATGAGTAGCTGAAGAACTATATACCCGGAAATTAGTGGTAATGATTATGAATAAATAGCTTTATTAGAAGGAATCTATCTTTAAAGTGTGATGTAATTATTACACATTATCTACCTTAATAGTTGTTAGCTGAGTGCGTCGGTGGCACAGCGGTAGAGTGCTCGCCAACCACGCAGGTGATGTGGGGTTCGGTTCCCGGCCGACACACTCCTTCACCTCGCTAAACCGGCAATAAGAAGGTAAAGAAGGAAGGTTGGGCATGGGGCTAGCAACCTCATCCTATAAAAATAATCACCACTGCTACAGAAACTTAAAGCCTCTAGCTTGAAGCTGCCCTATGCTCCACTGGGAACTTAAAGGAATAAAAATTTAAAAAAAGCTAAGTAATCTTGTCGCAACGTACTTATTCTTGCAGCATTACCTCCCTCCCTCCGGTCACTTATTTTAAAGTGTATTTATTTTGTTTATTTCAACTGATTTTCCTCTCTTTTTTTCGCTCTGCAAAGCAGTTGTGTTGCTCAAATGCTGTTATATATTTTTTCAGTTAGATGTTTTTTGTTAATTATTAACACTGCTAAATGTGCTTGTAATTTTCCTATTTGAATCAACTTACTCAAAGTCAAGCTCTTTTTTTTTCCTTCACGTCCCCCAATGGAACATAGGGCTTCAAGCTAGTGGCTTGAAGTTTCTGTAGCAGTAGTGATTATTTTTACAGGATGGGGGCGCTAGTCTCACGCCAAACCTTTCCTCTTTACCAGAATTATTTCTGGCTTAGTGAGGTAAAGGAGTGCGTCTGTGGACGGGGATCGAACCCCGGACCATGTGCATGGTCGGCGAGCGTCCTAACCGCTATACCACCGACACACAAGCTCTTTTAATTAAATAATACAGAGGTTGTTGTTGTTGTTGTTTTTTTTCATGTGTCATCTTTATGCTAAGTTGACATCTATACATGCTCAAATTAAAATAAAAATAAAATTATATTTCTTCTGCTTTATATTGTAGCATACTGAACTTTTAAAGCAGTTTTTAAATCCTGATACACTTCAAATTTTCTCAACTGCAAAAACGGGTAAGTTATATGTGTATCATATTTTATATCAATAGGTTAACTTTATCCTTCATTTTTTTTCAACATAAAGTTCACTAAACTGTGTAATTGACAACTACTCACATTATACTAAAAGCTTACATGAAACAGCATTTAATTATCTACTGCTGATTGATTGGCATGTGATTCGCTCCCACCAAATGCAAGATGATGTTACAGGAATGGACTATACTGCCTCTTAGATTAGAAATAGGAAGTGAAGTGGTAGAGCACGTTGACCGCTTCACTTATTTAGGAAGTACCATCAGCCAGTGCCAACGGGTTGATCTCCGACGAAATCGCAGCACGGATACAGAGGGCTAGTTTCGCATATGCCAGTTTACGCCGTCTCTGGCGTAGACGTGATATCCGGCTGGCTGTCGACCAAAGGGCGGGTGTGCTGCTCATCAGTCCGCTCCGTCCTCCTTTATGGCCAGCTGTGAGACGTGGCCATTGACAGTGGAAGACATGAAAAGATTAGCTGTCTTCGGCCATAGGTGCCTGCGCTCTATCTTCCGTGTGAAGTGGTATAATAAGGTGAGCAATATTGAGGTTAGGCCTCGGTCGAGTCATAGGTAAGGAGGGGAAATCAATCAACGAGACTGTGAAATTACATCGACTGAGATGGTTAGGACATGTGTTACATATTCCTAGTCATCGCCTTCCTCGACAACGGGGAATGTTAGCTGACATAGGATGGGTCAGGCTGGAAAACAGCTAGAGGTGGTCAAACAAAACAGTCAATGAAATTTACAACAGTTAGTTTAAGCCAGTCACGTAGGAAGGTGTAGACTTCCTGACTGACTGGCTGGGGTTCTCGGAACGGTAAAAACCAATGGTTGGAAACAATTGGTGACGTGGCTCAAAATCCTCGTTCTCAATAGCTGGCTCAGATGAATCCACTCCCTGTGACATATGATTTCCAATGAAACTGTTTTGTTCTTCGTTATTACTATTCCTTTGTCTCACACCTCTGTTTACTGTCTCTAATATGCACTTCTTGTACTTTCTTCTCTTGGTTAGTGTGCTACAAGGAGGGACTGTGGTGACTTGAACTGCCACACATTTGTGCAAAGTTCTATGTCGAAAACTGGCAGACAGACTACTGATTGATGGTGATGAGTAGTTGTATATACTACTTATAATAGCCGACTAGTGCTTCCTAGCCAGATTAATGAAGTGATCTAAACATTTTATGATCATTTTGATTGGACACTAGTAACTAGTGTGACGTGTCTAGTCCTTTCTTTGGTGCAGACTGAGTTTTATCAGTCAGGTTTTGTGATGTGGTCACTATTCTAGGTAGCTCGCCATCATGGTGCACATTAATTTGATGATATTAGATAGTTGGAAGCAATCGGCAAGAATTTAGTCTGCACCAAAGAAAGGAATAAAGACGTCACACTAGTTACTGGTGTCCAATCAAAATACCCACTACAATCCTACAGGAGGTTAATCGCGAGCCTGAATAGCTCGGTGGTTATGTCTCTCACTGCAGCACTCACTGGGTGACGCGGGTTTTAATCTCAGACGGGAGGGACATGAGTCCCTTCAAGGTTGCAGATACGCCTTGCTGATGAGTGCCAACTAGCACGAAACCTAGGTCTAAGGCTTCCTGTGGCCGATTGCCTCCAACTATCTAATATCATCAAATTGGATGATCATTTCGCTCGTTTGAGGCCGAGCTTATCAGCGGTGTGTGCCTATAGTTTGATTCAGCATAGACAACTGAATCGTTTCAAACCATCCGATTTCTGACTAGCTACTTGGGCTGAATCATACTGAGTGGGTACACCGTTGATGATGCGTTCAACCTGTAAATGAGTGAAACAGTCGTCTGATGTTTAGATCACTTCGTTAATTTGGCTAGCAAGAACTATTGGTTGATGTGGATGGTATAGAACTACTCATCTCCATTAAATTAGTAGTGCATAGTCCTGTGCAATTATGCCTTTAGTCTGATATATTCTGTCGGCGATCTTACTGTTTTAATTTTTGCATCTCTTTTTAAAGCTTCCTTAAAAAACAAAGTTTGGTGGAACCAATAAATTAAGCGCAGGGTCGTCAGCTGGTTGTTTTGAAAATCAGTAATTTAAGTACTGCTCAAACATCCTTTGACATTTCCAAATGTATCACTGTTGTACCTATTATGGTATATATATATATGTTAACGAAAAGTATATGAAGATTTTAATCATTAATGCTTTCTAAGTAATGTTTAATATACCCGTTGGTTGACTGGTGATTGAGTTTTCAACACAGAACTTTGCACACAAAAGTGCAACAGTTCAGTTCGTCACACTCCATTTAGCACTCCAAGGTAGAGAAAAGTAAATATTTAGAAAAAACTATAACGAAAAGAAATACTCTGGAAAAAGAATAATGACGTGTAGTATACTAAGCGATCGAATGAATTCAATAGTTTATAAAGGGTGAATGCATCTGTGTTACTGAGAAAAAGTTTAAGCCTTATCATCAACAGTCTCCAACTATTGATTAGTGTTATCTTGAGTACACTTTAGTCAAGCAGTCTGTATCCTCTGTGTTGCTTACACCAACAGTCGAATACTTCATGGATCGATGCAAGACTTTAGTGTAACCACTATTAAACTCTTTTCCAACTTAGTCCTATATCAGCTAACATTGCTCGACGAAGAAGCCGATAGCGCTTGGCATACAAACCAGGTAGGTATTCGTTAAAAGACTTAAATCAGTGGATAAATGTGGCAAAAAAATGTACATGGAGGATTGTGTTAGTTTGATGTATGTTTTCTGTAACAGTGGAGACTATTTACCCCGAAACCAAAGGTGTTTTGGCAGCGTTAATAGTTTCGTTTTGATATTTGTATACACAAGTGAAATGAGTTCACTTCTTTATTTGGAATACTGTCATTTTCAAATCTCATTTCATTAGTAAATCCTTAACTGATTAAATAATATCCATTGTTCATTAATCAGTCTTTTAAAATTCCTGATTAATCCACTAGAATACTGCTAAGAATCGGTGAATGTCGTTTTTTCCACTTTTTTCTGATCACTAGGGTTTTCAAGTATTGGTTTTTTAGTGATTTTGTTTGATTGTATGGAGGACTTCATCATGAGCTGACATCAGTTAGAGAACCACTGGAAAACCTGGGAGTACTGGACAGTTGTTTCGTCCTAGTTTGGGACTCTTCATCAGTACGCACCCACACTACGGGGTTGGAACCCAGGACCTTCTGGTTACAAGGCGAGCTCGTAGATCATTGAGCCACTGGGACCGGATCCGACGGTTCTTGAATTCCAACTTCTGCCAATTCATCACACAGCGCGACCATTTCGCAATGTCTCTTTCGATGAGTTACTGCCTCATCGTTGGCCTGCTGTACCCTACTGGTCACAGCTTCCCATTAGAACCCCAGGTCAACTGCCTGAATAGGGCCAGTCGCTAGTGAGCATCAGATTAATTTTCAAGTATTGATTTTGTAGGGATTTTGTTTGGTTGTATAGAGGATTTCACTATGAGCTGACATCAGTTTAGAATACATTGTGAACACAATGTCATACGAGAGGATTTTTAAGAAGAAAAAAATAAAGATTCTACTTGTCATTAGGTGGTGGCAATAAGATTGAAAAATTTGAAATTACCCAATTTGTATTACGTATTAAAACTCTATCTTATCTTGATTTACACTGCTCTTCAATACCCAGTCATTAATGGTGTATAAAAAAATCTATATGCCCGCAAAGTTCATCGTGTAAGATGGCTTAATGTGTAATCCTTTAACAACGGTATACATATTTGTAAACTTGACAATGAGTAGTCGCCTTTTTTGTTATATGAAAAATAACGACGCTTACTGGCTGTCGAAATAATCAGTAAGTACAGGAAACAACCTGCTTGTAAACCCCTGGTTTAAGGCTAATGACTAAATACCAGTGAATCATACCTGGCCGATAACTGCTACCTTGTCGTGGTGGTTGGGCTTGAATACCGTAATGACCTAACATGCTAAACTGACTGGGACTCTGTCCCTGCAGGTCCTACCATGTCAGGTAGGTTCTCTGGATAGCGGTTAAACTAAAAGCAGTTACCATGGGGTACATGGGCTTCAGTATCCAATCGGATCAAATGGCGTATGAACCTATATGGGTCACTGGAAACCATGGGAATGCAGCTCCTGACGCTGCTCCACTGCCTTGCGGATTAGACTCCAAGTCAAAGGCTCGGGGGGTGGTCCCTTAATAAAACCACCTGCTTCGGTCTGGGCGCCCGGGCAGTATCTCAGCCCTCACACAATGAATTGAATAAAGCAACAAACAATCAATGAAACTTATCGCGTGCTATTACACGTGTTGCGATTTACTTCTTTCTTCCCTTCTCGATGATAGTTAACGAATACTGTTTGAACTTGTTAAGCATGACTGTTTTCCTTCTAGATGGAATTCTTTATCCGTTCTCTACTTATATATATATATATATATATATATTCTTTTGATCTATGTTGTTTTATTATTATTGTGTGGCGCATCCTTCTTGGTGCCATATTGTACCAAGTTTTTATGCGATTAAATAAATAAATAGTGAACCATACATACACTGTTTGAGATTGTCGATTGCTTCATTTTATTTCACATTATTTTATCTTTAGGTCTGTGTCAACATCAGCATAAAATTCTTCAAATGGAAGTTGAGAAAGCACGTGATTTGGGTGAGTATTTCCAACCAAACAATGGCGACAATAATCGTAGTCATAGTAATAATGCCTTCTGATTTACAAAGAATGTTTCATACTAGAATATGAACCAAACTGAAATTGTGCGATACTACACCTTCCCCTTTCCATGCTTAATTGAATGGATTGAGATTTGATTAATCACACTTCATTTTTTTTACCTAATTGTTTACATGTATTTTTCATTCCTAACATGTATATGAATATATGCTGTTCAGTTCTGAGTTACCAGGGGTAATCTCGTTGACTTAGAATGTGTGGATGATATAGTCCTCCTCGCTGAAGACGTTAACAAAATGCAGAGTCTTCTGAACACCTTGAGGAGCAGCAGTCTTTGAATGTTTTTAGCATGCGATTCTCTCCTGTCAGTCAAATGCAAAATGATACTACAAGAATGGATTACATCGACTCAATCCTAGCTTTAATATAGGGACTAAAGAGTGGTAGAGCGTGTTGACCACCACTTATTTGGGGAGTTGCTGACGAAATCTCAGCATGAATGCAGAAGACTCGTTCAAAAAAACAACGTTTTTTGAAGAAAATCTTTGCGACTAAATTTCCTGACTGCTATGTCACTTATCTAGGGAGCATTGTCTCAGTCTACAGGAGGAACGGACGAGGATCTCAAATCGAGAATCGGGAAGGCGAGAAACACATTCATCAATCTGAAACCAATCTGGAAATCTTCGTAACTCGTCCAGAATCAACAACAAAATTCGGTCGGATTTTCAATACAAACGTCAAGTCAGTCAGTTCTCCTATACGGATCATAAACTTGGCGGGCGGGTCACAAAGAATATTTCGAACAGCCTGTTGCAGACCTTTATTAACAACTGTCTTCGCTGGCTCTATACTGAAGATCAGATGGCCGGGTCGGAAAGAATCACCAACAAGAAACTATGGACACAAACAAACAAAACAAGAAGCAATTGCCAACCAACAAATATGCAGGAGAAAGTGGATTGAGATGGATCGGACACTCGTGGCTGAGGAGACCGCTGAGTGACATCGCGCGCCAAGCCCTCGAGTGGAACCAGGCCGAAAGGGAAGCGGCGTGTGGGACGTCCAAGGGTGACATGGAGGAGATCGTGTGAAGAGGAGTTGAAAGAATATGGACTAATATGGATGCAGGCGAAAAGTACAGCTGAAGGAAGACAGAAGCAAATGGAGACGTGCAGTTGAAGCCCTATGTTCCACTTGGAACCCAAGGGAACAATAATAATAATAAATCGAAGTCTAGTGTCACTTAGATTTTCTATCAATTTCAGTCTTTATTTTTAGTGAATAATAATAATATAATAATAATTTGCTTTATTCCAAAACAGTACTAATGATACAGAAAGGAATTTTCAGCATTCAGTACAATATTGCATCTAGTTTACTCAAAAACGACAAAAAAAATTAAAAATAGGCATTACATAATAGTAATAAAACGATTGTTATAACAGTTACATGGCAACATACTATATGCCATACGGAGAAAAATATGCATAAAGTACAAAATTGTAGTAATAATAGTAATACCAACTAAAATAAAATAGCAGAGTAGTAATTAAACGACAGAAAGTGTGACACCTTAAAATACATCGATATCGATATCATTGAATGAAATACTTTGTTAAATTTTTCAAACTGTGATTAGTTCAATCTCGTTGATATCGTCATCCTCAACTGATATTGTTTCGAAAAACAAGAGAGAAGTTTTGTCAGTAAACACCCCCATTAAAATCCAAATGATAAGGAAGTTACATCGACCATTGTGGTCACGACCTGATCAGGGCTGTAGGGTAATATGAAACTATATACTCCTCATTGACGTGCCAATATGTTGTTGTCATAATGAACTGAGATTACCTTAATCTATGTACAATTTTATTTATTGATAATGTACTAACTGGGTGCAAAATACTGTAGTAAAATGCTAAGAATTCCATTCTGTATCACAAGCACTGTTTTGGAATAAAGCAAATTATTATTATTATTAAGTATACCACACGCATAACAACAAGTAGTGATTACTAACGAGATCAACGAAGTGATTTAAACACTCATCTACTGTTCCGGTCGTTTGGTACTGAGTCCATCATCGACGGCGTGTACTCGGTTCGGCTCAATTCAGAAAGTCGAACCAGTTTAAACCATCCTATTCCTAGCTAGCGTATTTTTGGTGAACTGCTATTACCCTAGATTAAATTCTCAAATTAGTTACCAATTTGTAATATGTAAATCACATACTCTAATGTGAATACTTTGCTTTCCAAAGAAAACTGTGTGAGGTGAAAAATTCACCCCTCGAAATGTGTGTACATTGCAAATTGCTAACTAATTTGCAAAGTTTGAATTTGATGAACAATAACACATGATGTGAAATTTAGCTGTCTTACACCTAATAGCTAATATAAGTCATTGGTACGCATAATGTATCGGTGGCACAGCGATTAGGACGCTCGCCGACCATGCACATGGTTGGGGGTTCGATCCCCGTCCACAGACGCACTCCTTTACCTCACTAAGCCAGAAATAATTCTGGTAAAGAGGAAAGGTTTGGCGTGAGACTAGCGCCCCCATCCTGTAAAAATAATCACTACTGCTACAGAAACTTCAAGCCACTAGCTTGAAGCCCTATGTTCCACTGGGGGACGTGAAGAAAAAAACCGCACAACTGAAATATCACAAACCAGGATGAAGCAGCCGTGCGACGCTTTTTGGCTCCAGGTGAGTAGGTTTCTCCCATGTAAGTTTGTTTATTAAATGTATCACACAGTGAAACAGTATTATTTACTGGATGACACAGTTTCGAACAAAATTTATCATTGTCCATAATCATATCAATTGTAAACACACGACTTTGAAACTTGAGTTTTATAGTTTTCTTTGTTGTCTCCTATTTGTCATCATTGGGGTAGTAGAATTTTCCAGATATCCAGCTGGACAGGTGTTGAATCATTCCTGTTACACGTGTTTGCAGTTGATTTGATAAACAAAGCTTCTGTTATCAATCTCTCCCTCCACCCTGGGACATTTGACTTTAAAACTGTCATCCTATCCCATCCTATTGTACTGTTGTGTGTAACTGCATGCATACAACAGGACGGGATAGGATGGCAGTTTTAAAATATTATATCACAGGGTGGGAGGGAGAGATTTATAACAGAAGCTCTGTTTATCGAATCGACTGAGAGTGAATACATGTAATAGGAAGGATTCATCACCTGTCCCAGATATCTGGAAAATTCTACTACCCCTATAACAAATAGGAGAAGACAAAGAAAACTATAAAACTGAAGTTTCGAAGTCGTGTGATTTCAACTGATATGATTATGAACAATAATAAATTTTGTTCGAAACTGTGTTATCCAGTAAATAGTATTGTTTCACTGTGCGATACATGTAATAAACAAACTAATATAAAATTACTTACTGCCACAGTGCCCAAGTTTTACACATATTAATGAGTAAGTTTTTTTCTAAAATAACTGATACCCGTTTTCGACAGAATCATTTTGGTACTTTATCCATAATAATAATAATATTATATATTCTATATTTGGTTTGTAAGGATTAGTTTTGTTTTTACGAGTTGACCACGGATTGATATTAATTAGAGAACCATTGAGAACCAGCACTGGAGTACTGGACGAATGTTTAATCCTAGTTTGGGAATCATCGCCAGTACGCACCCAACACAGAAGGTTCAAACCCAGGACTTTTGTGGTTACAAGACAAGCTCTTATATCTTTAGGGCTACGCTAAATGACCAATTGGTAGAAGTCAGAAATCATGGGTTGGCCGTTGAATCGGTTCCCAGTGGCTGAATGGTATACAAGCCAGCTTGCCTTGTAACCGGAACGTCCAGCGTTCGAACCTTCTGTGGTGGATGCATATTGGCGATGATTCCAAAACTAGGCTGAAAAGGGCTGTCCAGTACTCCCTGTGAGACTGGTTTTCACTGGTTCTCTAACTGATATCAATCCGTGATCAGGTCGTGAAAGTAATATTATTATTATTATATTCTTTTCTCTTGCATTATATATTATCCACTATCCAGGTACAATTCAAATGTCTTCACCTTTCTATTTATACGATTACAATGATTATTACGATTATCTACCAACTGATCAATTGAATGAATTACTTAAAATTAATGGTAGAAATATGAATATTTCTTCAACTGATTTAATAACATTACCACCTGATATACAAGATATACTAAAAAATTATCAGTCTATTCCACACGCAGTAGAATTTTATACTCATTTACCAAAAGTTGATATAATCCCACCGAAAATGGTCAATCGTTATCAAATGGAAGAAAAATACAAAGAATTACTTCAACGTAGACGACGCTCGCATTCACTTATTCTAAATTAAGATAAATTTTCAACTTCTCCTTTTTCTCCTTCCCGGAGGTGTTTTCTTTTTATTCAAAACTTTTACTATATTGTATAGATTGACTTGTAAATAAAAAAAAATAATGGATAAATAAAACAATTTTAATGCATATTTCATTTTAATGACAAACTTTTCTTATCTTTTCTTTGTGTTTGTAATTCCCGTGGTGTTTGTTGCTGTTTGTCTGTTTTCGACATAGAACTTTGCAGTGATGTGCTTCAGTTCGAGTCGCCACACTCCCTCCATGTAGCACACAAACCGAGAGAAGAAAGTAGAAGAAATGCATAATAGAGACATTAAACAGAGGTGTGAGACAAAGGAATAGTAATAACGAAGGAGAATATAGTTTCACTGGAAATCATAAGTCACAAGGAGTGGATGCATCTGAGACAGACATTGAGGACGATTTTGAGCCATATCACCAATTGTTTCCAACCATTGGTTTTTACCGTTCCGAGAACCCCAACCAGTCAGGAAGCCTGTCTACATCTTCCTACGTGACTGACTTAGACTAACTGTTGTAGACTTCATTGACTGATGAGGCCATGTTTTGGTTTGACCGCCACTAGTTCTTTTCGAGCCTTGACCCTATGTCAGCTAACATTCCCCGTTGTCGAGGAAGGCGATGACTAGGAATACGTAACACATGTCCTAACCATCTCAGTCGATGTAATTTCACAGTCTCGTCGATTGATTTCCCCTCCTTACCTAGGACTCGACCGAGGCCTAACCTCAAATTGCTCACCTTATTATACTACTTCACACAGGAGATAGAACGCATGCACCTATGATCGAAAACAGCTGTTTGGAATGATCACAGAGTCGCTATGATATGTCTCAAGTTTGATCACTAGTTGACGTCAGTTAGACAGTCACTGGAGAACTAGAGGAGTACTGGACAAAGCTGTTTTGTTCTAGTGCCTTGGAACGTTTTCAGAGGTACATACACCAAAACCAGTGTTCGAACCAAGGAGCTTTTGGTTACAAAGGGTAAGGTGAGTATTTGTCCTCAGTCTCTACATAATGAAATCCATTGGCTACGAATTCCTTCTAGAACTCTAGACAACTTCGTCTTGTGGCTGGTCACATTTACAGCTTGCCTTGTAACTGAAAGGTGCCGGGTTTGAACCCTGTTGGATGTGTACTTATGACGAGTCGGGGACAAGGACGAGACAGCTGTACTCCCTATGTGGTTGGTGGTGTGATGCAGACAACATATTCCAACGGAATATTTTTCTCACAGTAAGAATCATTGTATTTGTTGGTGCTAACGTCTGAATAATATTCACACAGTTCAATACTGCATTAGCAAAAAAATACTATATATTTATTTGAACATTCTATTACATGTCGTTTAATGTAAACTAAAATGACAAGCTTAGTGATTGGTTAGCGAAACAAATCAAATCCCTACAAACCAACTGTTTAAAACGTCTGTGATATGCTTCACCTGCATAATACCATCAAAATATTTTGCTTTATTTATGCAAGCATTTTTAGCTATTTTTTCTTCAAAGTTCAATGGCGAAACTGTCTGAGACAGTTTTAGCTTGAAATGAGAAATCGAGGTTGTGGTATAACATTCAAACCAGCAGTCTTCATCAAGTTTGTTAGTAGTTCAGTTGACAGAGTACCGTAGAACTATTAATTCTGTCATTACCATCACCCCCTTACACGAATAACCGTCTGCCAATGCAAAGTTATCTTCGATGGTCTCGTAGTCAATTTGACTGAATAAAACAAACGCTTAAGTTACACGCAAAATCCCAAACAAAGCATACGGTATGAAGACCTCAAACTGTGAGATATCATGGGCTGAATTAAATACTGTCAAACACACTATCACTATGCTTGAGAAGAAGTAACCAGGGGACTGTGTCAACGGTGATCCGCGGTCAGTATTTAAACAGCCTGCGAATGTCTAGAATAAGGAATAAGAATAAAGGCATTAGCATATTAGAACAATGTTCAAGAGAGAGTGGAATATAAGTAAAGTATGTACAGCAGATACCTTTACCTTCATAATGAAGATAATTAGTACAGATGAAATAAGATGAAAATTAAGTGAGATAAATTTCAACGGAAAACAATAGTTATGGTTTTAGGGCAACGATATGGTAAATAAAACTCACTCTTACTACTTATTAATAGTAAGCAGTATAAAGTTGAACACAAAGGAAACAGTGACAAGAGATAGATAAGAAAGAAATTAACGCTGACAGTGTCAATAATCCTCATATAAGTGGTTTAGCTTATTGTTCCGTGCAGAATCAATGTGTATGATTTTGTGTTTTATTACTGTTATTACTGTCACGTACAATTTTATGATAAAAGAACAAAGTTGGTAGGGGATGTTGAAATATACTATGTTGGTGCGACCAATTTCAACCCTTACTGTTTTAATTCTCTAACACTTGTTTAGGCTACCTTATAAATCTAAGTCCACTACATAAATTTAAAGGAAATTTATCAGGAATTTTTCCACGTTAGGGTTATGTTTTGATTTAACGAAATTAAGACTTCTCTGATTCTACTGTACATCATTTCACCGACTGTTTTCTTCATTAGTCTTCAGTGACTGTAGCACTGGGTGGTCAGGGTTCGAATTCCAGAATTTCAGATCATAGATACACCTTACTGACAAGTACCAACAGGCACGAAACCTAGGCTGAGCAATGGTTCTTGCCTATTGCCTCCAACCATTTAATAACAACAGTGCACAGTGATGTCGAGCCACCTAGCCATGATGGCCACATTGTAAACTGGAGCGATAGAATTCAGTCTGCGCCAATAGCGACGTCTAGACGCATCATACCAGTTACTACCCTAGTTTTCAGTCAAGGTATCCAGTATTCAAGTCTATATTCCTTATAGACTAATATATTTTTTCTTAAAGTTTTTTCTTCCTTCACATAAGGCCTCAAGCTAGCGGCTTGAAGTTTCTGTAGCAGTAGTGATTATTTTTACAGGATGAGGTTGCTAGCCTAATGCCCAGACCAACCTTTTCTCTTTACCAGCATTATTTCTGGCTTAGCAAGGTAAAGGAGTGTATCCGTGGCTGGGGATCGAATCCCGGACCATTTTCCCATGGTCGGTGAACGTACTAACCGCTATGCCACCGACGCACTTTATAAAAGTTACTGAAAGAAATTTACACTATAATTTTATGATTGAATTTCTAGTGCTTTTCTCTACTTTTTCTTCTTGTATTTCAGTTTCGCATATTAGGTAGTCATTTAATTTCTAACGAAGGAAGTTTATTGAAATGTAAACGATTTATATGGTAAGTGTATTGCCTGTATTTCTTATAATTCTATTCTTTGATTATCTTGCCTTTCTCTTATTACGTGCTTCGTGTTCAGAATTTATGCCTACTTAATTAGTTCTGCGTTTATGCTTCAGGAGTAGAATACATGCTTTCCAGCCGTACACCTACGTAGTCTAGGGTTCGATCCCACCCCCTACTGTCGACGCACTCCTAAACCTCGCTTAGTCGGTGGTAGGGAGTGAAGGTTGGGTGTGAGGCTGCAACTCCACCCCGTAAAATAAATAGATAAATAAATAGACACCATTCTTACTGAAACACCAAAGCTGAAATTCGAAGGCCTATGTTCCACACGGAATGCAAAAGAATAAAATTGCCTCTTGTTTATATACAAACTTGGTGGAAAAGCAATGTCATTTATTCAAATGAAATTTGTTTAGAAGCTATATGCCGGTAGTTTTGGAGAAAAGTTAGTCTTAAATTTTACTGTTAAAACTGTTATTTTTCAGTGGTAGTTCTTATTGTATCGCTGAATGAATTTAAACGTTGACCACTAAGTGATATCGACATATACTTCATTTCTTTGCTTTCCGAATGAAACATAGGTCTTTAGGCTTTGAGGTTCCAGTAGTTGAAGTCTTGTTTTAATTGGATGGGATTGCCAGACTCATACTAAACCTTCCTTCTATCTCGGGTTTATTACTAGCTAATACGCACATTGTGAAGTTAACAAGTGCGTTGGTCAGGAGTCGAACCAGGATCTCTTGCATGGCTGGCAAACCTACTACTAAACCACCACCAACACCAACACATATGCACAAGCACAGGTGTCAACATCAGGAGGAAATGACAGGTTTGTAGGGAGACAAATCGAAGAAAGGAATATATTCTTTTTAAAATCAGTATCTCATCAACGGCCATACGCTGACATACATAGATTTGCATTGAAATTATACCTGTTATGTAGGGATGTGGCGTCTGTGGCATAGCGGTTAGGACGCTCACCGACCATGCACATGCTCCGGTATTCGATCCCCGGCCGACGCACTGCTTTACCACGCTAAGCCAGAAATAATGCTGGTAAAGAGAAAAGGTTGGTCTGGGCATTAGGCTAGCAACCCCATCCTGTAAAAATGATCACTACTGCTACAGAAACTTCAAGCTTCTAGATTGAGGCCCTATGTTCCACTGGGGAACGTGAAGGAAAGAAAAAAAGTATAGTGATGTATCAGTTAGCAAGAACTATCAACTTTGAGGTAAAGGAGTGGTGAAAATAATTACGGAGTTTGCAGTGGCTCATTACGTAACCAGGAATTCTCAATATAATAACGTTTAAAAAGAATTATTATATTATTGTTTCCTTTAATTCCTAGAGGACCATAGGGCTTCAGCCGCACACCTCCATTGCGTTCAGTTCTCTGCCAACGTTTTCACCTGGCTCCACGTCTACCCACATGCTTTTCCCTCTTCTTCACGCGACCTCCTCCTCCATGTCACACTCGCACTAATGACCAACTCGCCGTTTCCCATTCGGGTTCCACTAGAGATAATAATAATATTATTAATGACGACACCAACAATAAGAAATCTAAATCATCAGTAGTAATATTCCATATAAGGAAGGAACCTCGGAAGCCTTACGCAGGAATAAAAGTGGCTGGTATTCAAACCAACCACAAACTCAATTAGAAACAAGCTTTGTCGGTTAAAGGATCAATCCTGTGGAGCCTTTAAAACAAAACAATTTAGTTTATCTAATACCCTACCTGCAATGATTGTCAGGTCAAATACATAAGTCAAACTAGTAGAGCATGGGCAGTCAGTCAGACTAGCCGAACATAAAAACCTAGAAAATCTAGATTGGTTGACCCAAATGAGATAAGAAATTGAGAGAATAGTTCAGCTATAGCATTACGTGCAGTAGTCACACACGACTATACAATAGGATGGGATAGGATGACAGTTTTAAAATCTAATGAAACAGGGTGGAGGGAGAGATTGACAATGGAAGCTTTGTCAATCGGATCAACTGCAAATACATGTAATAGGAATGATTCAACACCTGTCCAGCTGGATATCTGGAAAATTCTACTACCCCAACGACGACAAATAGGAGAAGACAAAGAAGTTAAAATTCAGGGACCATTGGATCGGGTCCCAGTGGCTCAATGGTCTACGAGCTCGCCTTGTAATCAGAACGTCCTGGGTTCGAACAGTGTCGGTGGGTGCTGAAGAGTCCCAAACTATGATGAAACAGCTGTCCAGTACTCCCAGGTTTTCCAGTGGTTCTCTAACTGATGTCAACTCATGATGAAATCCTCCGTGCAATAAAACTATAAAACTCAAGTTTCGAAGTCTCGTGATTACAATTGATATGATTATGGACAATGATAAATTTTGTTCGAAACTGTTTCATCCAGTAAATACTACTGTTTCACTGTATAATACATTTAATAAACAAACTTATATGGAATTACTTACTATCACAGTGCCCAAGTTTTAGACATATATTAATGCAACTGGTAATAGTTTCTTCAATTGTTATTTGATTTTTGTTTTAATTTTTAATCTTGTGTTGTATAGGACATGTGTAAATGAAGGTCATGGATGCTTAAATTATATTGCTCCACAAACACGGCTACGCGTTGTTGACAATAGTCCCTGGAGTAGTATAGCACCATCAAATATTACAACTAGTGGGAAAGATAATTCAGGCAAAAAAGTGACACCTAGTGAACAGAAAACATCTAGAATAGTTAAAGATGATAAAGATGTAAAACATTTACTTGCACTTGGCTCAAAAGCACTTACAATTAAACCAGCGAAATGTATTCGTGTTTATAATAAAAAGGATAGAGGAAAAATTGGTAAGTTGTAATTTGTGTTCTTCTCCTCTTTTCTTTTCTATTCCTGTTCAGTATTATGTTTAATAATTCTTCAAATAACATGCTTTATTATGCCTTTTTATATCATCATTGCGTTTATTATCAAGCTGTACAATCGTAGATTTATACGGTTTTTAAGAAGGTATATCCGATGAGGGAATTGAATCAAAGATGTGAATGCTTAAAATAATAATAATAGTAGTATGAAATGCAATTAAATACAAAAATGTTTGTGATTGTAATCATAGTTAAATGTCAAGTGGCAAAGCAAATTAATGTCATATGTAGAATAATTCATAGGATGGATAGAACTTAAAAAAGAGTGTGCAATTATAGGATTAGTAGGCAGATCGAATAAAAGTGAAACGTTACTTAATATTGTGTGAAATTTGATAGTCTAGAATTTAACGTTGTAAAAAAGAATTGATTTAGAATGACAAGTGGAACAAGTGAAATAATACGGGGAACATTTCAAAGTGAGAATGGTAATAGTAACTATTGACGTAATAAGGAAGAGTTTGTCTGTCTGTTTTCGACATGTGCGGAAGTTCAAGTCGCCACATTCCGTGTAGCACGCGAAGCAAGAGAAGAAAGTACAAGAAAAGCATGGTAGAGACAGTTAACAGAGGTGTGAGACAAAGGAGTAATAAAGAAGATTAAAACAGTTTCATTGGAGATCACAAGTCACAAGGAGTGGATGCATCTGCGCCACTGAGAACGACTTTGAGCCATGTCACCAATTGTTTCCAACCATAGATTTTTACCGTCCCCAGGACCCCAGCCTGGAAGTCTACACCTTCCTACGTGGCTTAGACCAACTGTTGTGGATTTCATTGACTGGTGCCAAGTTTTTGTTTGACCGCCGCTAGCTTTTTTCTAGCCTGACCCTATATCCGCTAAGATTGCTCGTCGAGGGAGGCGATGGCTTGGCATACGTAACACATGTCCTAACCATCTCAGTCTTTGTAGCTTCACGACTTCGTCGATTGATTTCCCCTGTTTAAATAAGGAAGAGTATATAAACTGAATATACAAAATGATGAAAAAATGATAGAGCCAAAATATGATTAGAGATTACCATACTTCGGCATAGAGGGATTAAGACCATGAAAGTTGGAGGGGTTGAACGAAGTTTTTCTGTACACAGAAATCTGGCTTTTCTGTTTCGATAGCCAAAGATGGCTTCAGCAATACAGATGAGTTGGGTACGTAAGGGTTTCGGTAAATTACCTCTTGCCTTGTAGATGACTTTAAAGATGGAGGCTATATAGAAATAGGTTACTTACTTACTTTACTTCGGCTATCTCCTACGGGAGGATGAGCCGGCTTCATGAACGTCTCGAATCATCGCTGCCCAGGCGCGGCAATTTGTAAGAGAGTTCATGAAGTTTCATGGGAATTTGGTACGAGTGATGTCCCCAGAATCGCTCGGCCTTTTGTTTGAGAGTGCAGCTCTAGCCTTTACACAACCAAGTGTGACCTACAAGGCAGTAGGAGTGGAGTAAGGAGTCCACTATCCATTGGCAGCCGATGACCGGAGTTCGGTTCATACGCCTTTTTGAATGGGGCCAGACATCCAGGAAAACCAACAAGCCCTTTGTCCATACGTCTGCCGGTGAGCTCCAGTGAGCTTCATACGCCAATCGTTGGAGGTTTGGAATCAGGGTTTAGCCATCTCCCCTAGGCTGTCATCCAATGGACAGTCAACCCGGTGGAGAGCGCCGGGCATCCACTTTCGCCCTCTCACTTTGGTGAGAAACACCTCCGCCACGTGAAGGCAGTGAGTAGGACTTCCTCAGGAGAGGCTATGTAAGACGCCCGGTCATATGGGAGCATTTCAAGAGGTGTGCGGAGGGGTGGCCAACCCGCAGCGCAAGGCACCCACCCCCGACCATCCTGAGGCTTTGGAGGCATAGAAATAGGTTGATCATTATCGACCAAGTGTTCAATGATCGTGCTTCTTATTGCTCCACTTCCACCTCTTCGTAACCATGCAGGATAGAGTTCTTTCACCTTCTTGGACAAAACTCGAGTCGAACGACCGATATACCTAGCTCCACGTGAGCAGGTGAATTGATAAACGCACATAGAGTTGGTCAACAACTGAGGGATCTTGTCCTTCAGGTTATTGAACAGTAATGGTCAACTGGTAAAAGCTATTCTCAAAGATACAACAAGGAATTTCGTTTTCAGGGACTGTGATATGCTTCTTTTCATGATATCGGAAGCTAAGTCACCTTTGAATTTCGAGCTCATGTACAGTGTTTTATTGACATTAATTGTTTTCCCACTTGACAATCACAAATATTTTAATTGCATTTCACACCTATAATTCAATTCCCTAACTGGATATAATTTCTTAAAACCGTATAAATATACAATTACACAGCTTGATGATAAATTCGTTGTTGAAAATAGTCTCTTCACCGAATCATCACTTGTTTTGATTTCCTATTTGTTGCAATGGGAATTTTCCACGAATCATTGCCTTTATCTTTTGTTGGCATTCAAAGTTGAATGATGAAAAACAAATGTCTCGCAGAGAGTAGATAAACTTTCTCAATGCAACACTAACTTGTCAGTGTCCTGCTTACATCTCGCTTCCCCGCGCACGCACACACCGTACATCTCCACAGGAATTGCAAGAGAAAAAAAGTAGTTTGAAGCTAAAATCACCAATGGTCAGCAGTTATGTTTGTCACCGTAGTCAGCCAAACTGTACATTAGCCTATACTGTTCAAAACAGCAGTTAGAATAATTTCCTTAACCAAGCTTTGACTAACCCAGGCTTTCTTCGAACTAACTTTGAACTACTTTCTTCTCTTGGTTTGTATGCTACATGAAGTGTGGTGACTTGAAATGCTGCATATCAGTGCTTAGTTCTATGTCAAAAACAGACAGGCAGTTTTCGAACTAATATCTCCTCACTTGATAAAACATTGGAGTCGATAAATGTATTCAGTGATCATTTATATCCATAAATGATAGTTATGCTTTTTAGTATCATAGTTACTCTTATTACCTAGTCATTAATAGTTCATTAGAATAATGTGGTAGTCATAGTGTCGAACAACTATTGACGATGTCGACCGTCTGTTTGTCTATTTTCGACATAGAACTTTGCACATATGTGCGGCACTTCAAGTCGCCACATTCCCTCCTTGTACCACACAAACCAAGAGAAGAAAGTAGAAGAAATGCATATTAGAGACAGTAAACAGAGGTGTGAGACAAAGGAATAGTAGTAACGAAGAACAATATAATTTCATTGGAAATCATAAGTCACAAGGAGTGGATGCATCTGCACCAGCCATTGAGAATGAGGATTTTGAGCCATGTCACCAATTGTTTCCAGCCCGTCATTGGGTTTTACCGCCTCGAGGACCCCGACAAGTCAGGAAGTCCACACCTTCCTACGTGACTGGCTTAAACTAACTGTTGTGAATTTCATCGACTGATGATACGTTTTGGTTTGACCACCGCTAGCTCTTCTACAGCCTGACCCTATGTCAGCCAACATTGCCCGTTGAGTAAGGCGATGACTACGCATATGTAACACATGTCCTAACCATCTGAGTCGATGTAGCTTCACAGCCTCGTCGATTTATTTCCCCTCCCCCCTTACCTAGCACTCGACCGAAGCCTAACCTCAATATTGCTCACCTTATTATACCACATCATACGATGTCGACTGGTCACTTAGAAGTTACCATTAGTATGATTCCTAATCCTTATCGCTGACTGAAGTCTATATCATTCAAGTTTCAAATGCTATCATCCAACTAGGAAACTTATTATCACAGCGTAATTTGGACTAGTGTTTGGTGGCAGTAGGTAAGATGCCATGGACTTAAGTTCCCTGCTTATTAGCTACCAGGGCGTCAGTGATGAGTCTGAATAGTTCAGTATCAGTGTTCATAATTACAGCGTTAGATTATACATGCTTGACTCTCACAGTGGTGGGGAGGCCGGGCTTGATCTCCTTCAAGGCTGTAGATACGCTATGATGACGAATGCCAACAAGCATACAACTTAAATCCAAGCCTTCCATGTTGATTGTCTTCAGCAGCCATATTCTTTCAATATAATTTTCATAAGTATCCTTTAAAAACTGTAACTCGTTTGCTTTAATGTTTGTATAATCCATGAAATAAGAATCACTTTTTTTATTTTTTTTCTTATTGTTTAATTTTTATTTAATTTAGGTGATAAAGTACTAGTCGCGGTTAATGGAGAAATGAAGAAAGGTTGGATTGTTGGTTGTCGATTACCATCTCAAGATGGTTGGCCGCGGTTTGAGTCAAATAATATCGTTCTTGTTGATGACGATGGCAATCCTTTAGGTACACGTATACTTGTACCAATACCTGCACGTTTACGAAGTTTATCAGGAGATATAACAAAAATTTTGTCAATAGCCAGTTCATTTGTATAAAAAAAGTATATATATATATATAAAATATATCTAGTTAATTTTGTCTTTGATGCCATTAATTTTTTATCTAGAATATTCTAGAATTATTAGGAATATGCTCTAGTTTACATGAGCAGTTAGTTTCATCTAGATTTTCATTATCTTCAAGGAGGGAATACACTCCAAGCAAGTGAGCTTATTCTTGGTATGTTAAAATCTTCAATCGTTTACACAGCCGTCCATTTTAATTTAATCGATGGATGGTGGCTAGCCGGGGGATCCAGGATAAGGCACATTTCGCCCTATTTTGGACTCGTCATCTGAATTCACCTGGATTTCCCAGTGAGTGATGGTTTTCCCATCCATCAAATAAATTCTGATTAAACGCCCAGACATCGTCGAAGCATCTGCACAAGAAGCTGACATGTCACCCTGAGACCGAGCACTTTGATCCAATCATTCGACGGGAAAATTTAAAATTCAATTAAAAGCTGTCCATTCAGTTGTCTAACTGAAATGTCAGCCCGTGATAAAACCTGTAACCAATCAAATCACTTGAATAGCATATCAATCAACCAATCAGAAGTCAATATCATCCTGTGTTTATGTTTGCTATACTAGCTGCCATGTTGAGGCGGGGGGGGGAAGGGAACGTATCGAACAGATTACATATTGTGATGATCTGAATTATTCCATGCACTTATTATTATTATTTACAAAGTGCAATCCCCCTCTATTCTACAGGTGTCTTGGATGGTACAATTTTGTGAAAATCTATTCACAAATCCGTATTAGTTACAGGATTTCATCATGAGCTGACATAAGTTATAGAACCATTGGAAAACCTGGAAGTACTGGACAGCTGTTTCGTCCTAGTTTGGGACTCTTTAGCAGTACGCACCCACCGAGACTGTTCGAACCCCAGGACCTTCTGGTTACAAGGCGGTGGGTGCGTACTGATGAAGAGTCCAAAACTAGGACGAAACAGCTGGCTGTCCAGTACTCCTAGGCTTTCCAATGGTTCTCTAATCAATGTCAGCTCATGATAAAATCCTGTAACCAATCAACCAAATCCCTACAAGCCAATACTTGAAATCAGTATTATTATTATTATTATTATTACTAGGAATTCTCAATTCTTTGAGATGAATAATGTCCCACATATTTCACACTTGATGAATATGTATTAAGATCGCTTATCTCACAGTTCCTCGGTGTCCAAGTGTTTAAAATACCTACAATAAATTCAAATTCAGAAATTAGCCTATTAGCTCTTCAATTCTGTGAACGATTGATTTGGTTACAATTTTGTAATGTCAACACGTCCTCATCTTTGTAATTAGGAAATTTCTTACTCCCTCTGGGGATGATGTGCAGAAGAGATTACACATTAAATCTGAAATGTAAACAAAGCGCTACAAAACATTTTACCTACTAATCTAAACCATTTATGCGTAGTTATAGTACGTCCTTTATTTATTGACTGATTGGTTTCAACATAGAACTTTGCACCGGTTTGCAGCACTTCGAGTCACCACACGTCACTCAGCACACAAAGTCAGAAAAGAAATGCAAAATAGGGACAAGTAAACTGAGATATGAGGCAAAAAGAATGGTAATGACGAAGAACAATATAGTTTTTTTTATCGGAAATTATGAGTTACAAGGAGTGGATGCATCTGCGCCATCATTGAGAACAATTTTGAGCCATATCACCAATTGTTTCCAGCTATTGGTGTTTACTGTCCCTTATTAATTTTCATGATAAATACTTAACCATTTTATTACAAAGCATGCTGATAATGAAACAAAAACTCCCAAAGTATTTGCTTTACAAATACTAGTAGCTAGAGGTCTTTTGGGCTGGTCTAAAAATGCTTTCTGTCTACAGTAATTTAATCACAAGTTAACATATAAGGGTCTCTTATAAGCTATTGGATAAAATTATGCTCTTTTGCAAAGCACACATGCTTGAATATATAATGCTGCCAAGTAAGAAGGCCTGATCATATATGGAGTCAAATAAATTCATCACTTCAATTGAACCTCAGACATTCCTTCGTCAATTGTAAATTTGTCTATCTGTGTTGATTGAATTATGAGAACTATTGAATTTTCAAGAAGCAATAGCACAATTGCTGTATTGTGGTGTGGTGCTTGTATATCTCTATACTCTTTTTACGCTATGGTTAACAATGACATCCTTGAACAACCTTAAGTATTATATTCTCCCCTCACTAGTTGAGGTGGCGCTAAAAACAGTCTGGTCATCCGGTTAGATGGATCGAGGTAAAGAGTTGCAATGTACAGGTTGTGCTGTTAATTAGCTACACTATGCCTACCTCACTTGACATAGTTTGCCCAAGTAACCAATTAATCAGCACTTTACTCGACTTGTATCTCCCCAGTGTGCCCTTTGCGAATCAATCCCTCAGGTATTTTGCACAGCCTGCGAAGCAAGACAGCAGCCAATATTTTAGACGCGACTGATAGCAGACTGATATCCCTGTGATTGTCACTTGAATTGCGTAGATCTGCTACCTGGAGATAGACTTTTCGACCTCGAATATGCAGACGATATCGTCCTACTGTACGATAGCATGCAGGCTGCCCAAATCGCACTTAGTCAGTTGGTGATCAGTGTCTGTAAGTATGGTATGTGCTTTGCGCCGTCTAAGGGCAAGGTACTGTTACAAGATTGACACGAGCCTGAACCTGCACTCACTCTTCCGGGTGGACTGCTTGAAATTGTTGATAAGTTTGTGTATCTGGGTAGTTGTGTGAGTGCTGGCGGAGGGGTAACGAGTGAGATTTCCAACCGTATACTGAAAGCTAGGGTGGCATACATCAACTTGAGCCACCACTGGCGCCGCCTCCACGTTAGCCTGACTATCAAAGGTCGGGTATACAATGCTTCGTTGTGGGCTGTCTTACTCTACGCCTGTGAAACCTGGCCCCTCCGAGTAGGCTGAGGATGTCCGGCTACTCTGCGTGTTCGATCATCGCTGGATTGCTTGCGTTCGATGGCATCATCATGTGAGTACTTCTGAGGTTCGACGGCGTGTGTTTGAACACAGTGGAGATCACCATCCACTGAGTGTCGTCATCTGGAAACACCGGCTCCGGTGGCTTGGACATGTACTGCGAATGTCATCCCAGAGGCTTCCGTACAGGTCTCTGTTCGCTAGCCAGCCCTAGGACGGGATGGAAAAGGCGGAGCGGTGGTCAGTCCATGACGTGGCGTCGTGGGATGAAGGGTGTTTGTGCTAGATTAGCATCGGTTGGTGCGTCACGACTCCCTGGTTGGGGTCCGAGAGATAGTTCGAATCGATGGCTCGAAACGGTATCGGATATGACCAAGAATCGTAATCAATGGCGAAGGTGTTGCAATTTCCTTCTTTCTTCCCTTCCCAATGATAGTTAACGAATACTGTTTGAACTTGCTAAGCATGACTGTTTTCCTTCCAGATGAAGTTCTTCATCCGTTCTCTACTTATATATATATTTTTTTTCTACTTTTGATCTATGTAGTTTTATTACTATTGTGTGGTGCATCTTTCTTGGTGCCATATTGTACCAATTTTTTCCGCGTTTAAATGAATAGATGTTGTCAATGGCCAGCTCTTACTACGCTGTCCCTGGAAGACTTTCAGAAACAATTTGTAATAACCAACGCGAGAAAACAGAACACAGATAGGGGACTCGAGAATCCTTTATTCTTACGCCAATATGTAACCAACAATAAGGTTATTACACACAAAGTTTGAGAATAGATCGTATAACAATAAATCACGATTATACTTCTGATAGTTTTCTGTCTTCCACTGAAGAGTGAACGATGACTGCTGGATTGATGACTCTCGCGAAAAATATGGAAGAGTTGGGTTTGAGCAAACAACCATGAATTGATCGTTCAATCTTCAACTACATTGACAAACTTATCTACAGATACCAAAACTCAAGTCAAAAAGACTCACTCAGTAATGTACTGTAGTGAGCATCATACTTGAATAAAATAAAAATTTAAGATTACATCAGGAAAAGATTCTAGAACTTATCTGTTTAGTATACTTGAACTGTGGATTCAAAGTCTGTGTGTGTGTGTGTTAAGAGTACACGGAAGGCGAGTGAAATTACCGTTCCAGCCTGCGCCGATGTGTATCCATTAAAATGGAACCAAAGACACTGTAGCGTGCCATACAGAACCAGCAGATAGTTGGCCCAAGGCACAGAATAGCTGTGTTATAGATCTGCCACCAGTTCACATGAACCGTGGTCAACTGATATTATGGTCTTATGCGTGAGTATAACAAAGCTGACGTGACAGACAACTCAACTGAGATGTTAGATACGGTTATTCGTCCTCGGTACCTTCTGCTTCGCTGAGCCGCATAAATATTAGAAGACAAAGAATGCCCTGTGATGGTCAGAGCACAATTTTATTGGGAAAGGGGCACATCACATTTATATATTTCTAACCATATTAAAATTCGGCTAGGGAAGTAAGAAATTACGACTCTGATTAGTTGACTCAAAACCAAGCTAAAAGTCATATGACTGAATTCTGCAGTCATCCAATCACAAAATGATTGCTATTTTAACTGCTTCCTATCAAGTTGACCATACGGCAATAATGAGCGCTCGTTCTAGTCTTAGTCAACCAGAAAACGAGCTAGAAGTCATTCAAGCAGCACAACTACGTGGTTCCTTAAAGTCCCATGACTGATAGACCAAGTATGTACTGCTGTTGAAATTAGAAAAACCCTTATTTCACACTGGCGACAAATCAAAATCTAATAAAAGGGCAGCTCCGTACATTTTTCCTGCGGAAACAAAGTAAAGGCAATTGGTAACCGCCAAATAAAATCTCTTAAACCCCTCTCAATTACTTAAAAGACTAATGGGAATTGTAATTCAAACTGTTTCTGTTCATAGTGAGAAGCACAAACACCTTAGATGTGAGCTAATCAACACTATTTTCACGGGATTTAAGTGGCAGAGGTAAAATGAACAGAGATGTT